AAAGAAATATTTAGTTTAAAGCATTAGTTGTTAAGGTAAATCTTATTCCCATACCAAAGAGCAACATTATAAAAGGGTCCATTTCTATGCCTTTGTTGGTCATTGTAATTTAATAATTATAATCTTAGAAGCAAATTTAATCATAGAGAAGAATGGGTAAAACTAAATTCTTTCATGCCAGCAGGTGGTTGAAAATTTTACCAAAAAACAAATAAATCCCTTTTATATGATAACTAAGAGTCATCCTGCTTATTCTCAATGACCCAAACACTGAATTTAGTTTAAATGTTGTAGCATTAAAGCTCTTCTTTCAATGAATGCTAAGCCCCATTACCTTCCTTTTTGACCTGGACCAGCTCTGGTATTCCCAAAGGGTTTTTTTGTTTTTGTTTTTTTGTCCATTGACAGATACGAGCCTTTTCCACTGTCATGACCTTTAAAGTGTCTTCTGGCCTTGGAGAATCTGGAAACCATGGCTATGAAATCTGTCTTTTCCCCTACTAAGCCATATGATCTCACACATAGTCATGGTCAGTTTTCTTCTGAGGTCTTGTGATTTAAGACTAATGTTGTGAACCTCAGGGGGGAACCAAGCCGTATGTTGAAGTACAGCTGTCCTTATTATCAAAGTAAGGTGTTGGTAGAGAACTTGGCAGAACGTGGCATCGTTAAAATAGCAGTTAGGCTCAGTGTATAACGAACTCCCTCCCCCCAAATCTTTTTAGTGTTAGCTGAGAAATGCATCATGGACCTCTTCTTTCCTTGAAAGGCGGGGTCCAAGTTTGAGGAATATCATTTCGGGTGTCGGGAGACCTTTTTTTTTTTAAGCACGTGCTTTCTTATCGTTGAAATGTAAAAACACTGTCTTAAAATCTGTCTCTTGTCATTTTCCAGGACAGCCACACTCCGGGTTACTGCAGTCAGGTCTCATAAGCTGCTATGTCACGTATCTCACTTTCTCAGCTCTGTCCAGCAAACCTGTAGAAGTAGGTAAGCCGGCCTTGCGAAGGAGCACACGTTTGCAGTATGAACGTTTTCATTTGTGGAGGAAGGAATATGTCTCTGTGACACTCTTGTTTAGGTATCAAGGATGCAGCAAATCAAGCTGAGCCTGCGTTTCCTCAGGTGTGGTGTCCAAGGCAGAGTTGCAGGTGGAGGTGCTGGGAGTCGAACCCAGGGCCTCATACATGCCAAGCACGTGCACGTCCACTGAGCTGTACCCCCTTCCTTGTAATAAATCAAAATAGACGATTTAGACTTTTTTAGTACCTGAAGTCCTTAAGGTGGGATATGAAAATGAAAATGCTTTCTTTTGAGTCTTCCTGCTATGTAGGAAAGACTTGAATAAAAGTGGGCTGTTGAATTTGCTTTTAGGCCTAATCTGCATTTTCCTGCTCTGTTTTCAAGGAACATTTTTATTTTGCATAGTTTATTTTGTTTTTTTGTTGTTGTTGGTTATTGATTTACTTTTCTTCGGGTGGTCATTTCTGTGGAAAGACTATGGAAGTGGGAAGCAGGAGAAAAGGTTTGAGCCCAGCTCCACCCTTTGCTATGTAACCTTGTGCTGCTCATCGAAAATAACATGTATTTATAGAGACAACAGAACATGAATAAGCTTTAGACATGGACGGCCTAGGTTTATAGCCTGGCTCTGCCACTTAAGTAACTTGCACAAAGCTGCTTACCTTTCTCTGCCTAGATACCTCACCTTTAAAATAAGAATAGGATTACTATTTTATAATGTGGTTTCTAAGAATTCAATGAACATGTGTATATATGTATATACAAGTATGTACAGTTCCTAGCACGTAGTAGGTGCTGTATAACAGTTAGCTATTATTGCTATAGAATGGTTGCAATGATTTTTGAGAACTATAAAAACACTATTATATTATAAGATGTTACTATGTGAGCCCTTGAGCCTCGCCAGTAAAAGAGCAAATTTTGCTGTTTTGATTTCCAAACTTGTTATAATTTATTATCTTTATCACTTTTGTGATACATACCTGTGTATGTAAATGTATACACACATATACACATAAGTGTATATAAATGTGTGTATGGGTACATTTGATCTCATATACATCAAGTTTAATAAATGTACTATCTTTTCTCTAGAAAATTGAAGTTGTTTTCCTGTTTTTAAATTTAGGAAGCAAATGCAAAGATAATTTGAAAGTTTTAGCATGTACACATACTATGTATGGTCTTGTCATTATAGCTACTTATATTGCAAAGTGATATAATTGTAGACCTTATATTAAATATAGTCTATCCTGGATATAATTTTTTTTAAACTGTCTTCTTTATTCTAAGTTTATTTAAATTTAGTCTCTTTAAGACTTATGACTGTTTATGTATTAATCTCTGGTTTTAACTTAATGGGGGTTTATGGGAGTTTTGGTTACAGTAGTTTTCTTTTTAATGGCAGGTATCACTTAAAAACAAACAAACAAAAAAACGTTTTAAAATTTCAGGTGGTACTACTTAAATAGCAAAGTTCATATTCTGGTCAAGTCCTTAAAAAAAAAAAATGTCATTGGCCTAAGAATAAAGACTCCTTAAACCGTAGGATACACAGTTATGTTTACTCTTTCAAGTGTGAGTCCCAGTAATAATTTTAGTCCGACTTCAAACACTTAGAATGTATATGTTTCAAAAATGGTTTCTAGGCTGTTATTTTATGTTTATGTCTCCTATTTTGGGGCAGAGTTGGCAATCATACTCAGCGTGGGTGTTCAAAATTGAAGACTCTGTGTTAGATAAAAAATAAACTACCACCGATGGTAATATTACAAAAATCTTTGTTATGTAGCCTTTCCAAATATCTTAAAAATCCAGACCACCCTAGGAGGTTACCAGATTATAGCCTAAGAGATGTCACAGCCATCCTATTACTGGCAGTAAAATGAATTCCCATGTGGGTGGAGATGGTAGGCAGACAGCTGCTGTATTGCTGGTTCACATTTAGCTGTTGAGTACCCTCATCATGCCTCCAGAGAGGATAGGCACGGAGGGAGTACTCAATTATCTGCACACTGTCTCTGTTCAAAGGCTGCCAAAGCAACTGAAAAATGGATCAAAGTTTACTTTTTACTATTGTTTGAATAGTAATGAAAATGAGTAAGACTCTTACAAGGTCCCAGACTAAAGAACCCTTTAGCACTAAGCCAGTTCTGATGAGGGTCTTATTCTCAGAGGGTGCTGAGGTGGGAGAGGGATGCTTTGAAATAGCAAGAGTCTAGTCTGAGTCGAGCCTGACTATAGAGTAGAAGTTCCCAGTGAGAAGTCTTCACTATGCTAAGCTACCTGCATTTTCCCAAAACGAATGCTTTTATGAGTTACAACAGGCTTTTCTACATCGACTCTGACTACTTTGTCTTTTCTCGCCAGTTCTAGATGAACATGGGAAGAACGTTACAATCTGTGTGCCTGACTTGGGTCAGGACCTGTACAGAGACGAAAACTTGGTTACTGGACTGGGTACCACGCTCTTGTTTGCATGCATCTTATATTCATGGTAAGTCTTAGGAGTTACCTGGGGCCATCTTTGCAGATTTGAAAAGCACAGGAGAAGAATTTAAATAAGTTCCAGCAGCCATGAGGCAGCAAAACAAATACCATCTGAGGAAGAAGGATAATAGAAATAATAGTTGTTTGGACTTCATTTGCCTCATTTGTATTGATATGGGGTAAATCAAATAAGTAGATGGTATGTTGCAACCCTTTAAAAGACAGTTGACTATTACTTGCTAAAGCATTATTGGAGGGTAAGGGAGCATAAAGCGAGGAAGAGATGGTATGTGCCAGAGTGTTTGGACAGCTTTCTAATCCAAGGGAAATACCATTCATTCTGCTATTGATGGAAAGAATACAAAGCGCCACATACATGGTCATTTCATGCCTAGTCCGGGAAAGACAGGAAACTTTTTTTTTTTTTTTAAAGATTTTTATTGGGGAATTAGGGGGATGGGAACAGTGTTGGGGAACTGGGGGAAGGGGAACATACAAGTTGCTGTCATTTTTGTTCTTCAATCTAGTTGTGGAGGATGTTGCTTCACTGGCCCAAGTTGGCACCATCATTGTGCTCTTCCCGGGTGAGGCATATCAGTCGCCAGCTTCTGGACAGCCGCTGCGGCTGCTAGCCGCTCACGCTGGCTGCTGGCTACACATGGTAGCCCATGGCAACCCACTGCCGCAGGGGCTGCAGCCTACGCCGTCGCCGGCGACTCACGGCAACCCAGCTCCAGGTTGAGCTGTTGTTCAGCATCTTAGCTGTAGAGGGCAGTGTCACCGGCCCTCATATGTGGGATCCAAACCGGGACCCTCTGGCGTCCCAAGCGAGTTCTTAACCATCGCGCCACTCGGCCGGCCCCAGGAAACTTTTCTTTTACGTTAAAATGCACAATGCTGTTAAGGAGGCAAGACAGCTCTCCAAAAGTAGGTGTGATATATAAGCAGGCTGTATATCACATGGTGGGGTTCAGTCCACCTTTAAAATTTTAAAAGATTGCCAGAGGGAGAAAAGTAAAGGATAAAAATGGTTCGTTTCCTATTCTGGATGCATATTTCACTGATAATTAAGCTTCCCTTTGACAGTAACCTTTTCATGGTTAGGTTTTACTTCTGTGTTTTATGTTTTGTTTGTTATGTTTCAGTGTCCAAACATTTCAACTTGTCATAGGCACCTTAAAGTCTTCCTGTGGCTGAAATGAAACCATCCTGATGGTGATAGCTTGTATAAATAAAACTCCTTTCTGTCATTTTCTCTTACCACTTCTAATACCCCCTGGTGCTAGAAAGGGACCAGCAGACACAGACATTTCAGAGACGAGAGAACTGAGTTTTATAAAAGACTTGTTCAGAGGCACGCATCCAGCCATAACTATCTGTTGGTGTTGCAGGTCATTATTATAGTGAAGATTGTGTAACATTGGTTATCAGTCCATCTCTGACACAGTGACACATTCTCTTTGTTGTATCAGAAGGGAGTGTGGTGTGAGTACACGTAGATCCAGGTCAAAGCCCGCAGACTGAAAATCTACCTCCATAAATGGAGGGCAGGGAAAGACCAAAGAAAGAGGCTGACCTCTCCTGTCTGGTAATTAATAGTTTGTTAAGAGAACCTTACATACAAGGCATGTCTTGGGTGTTTGTACGATAAAACAGATCCCTGTGCCACTTGGTAGGTGCCAAAGAATTATATAGGGTGAAGGGGGGATAGCCATGGGTACTAGTGCGTGAATGCTACCAGGTACTGGAAATTACTTGCCATGCTTGATCAGGTCAGGACAACAACCTGTTCCAGGAACCGGCACATTGCAGGAGGCAGGGAGGAGTGCTGATTTATGTCAGAAGAAACATGAATTACGTTCAGTCTCTAAGAAGGGTTTGCAGGAAGCAACTTCTGTTCTGGCCGGGGTCCAGCTTGCAGGACAGACAGTGGTTCTGTCAGGGAACAGCCTCTTCTCCACACATGGTGACCACTTTCTGGCCTTTCATTTGTATTAATTCCATAATTGTCCACTGAGTACCTACTGTATACAAAGCAATGGTTAGGATTTGGGTCCGTGTTAATGAACGTTTTTAGGCAAACCATAAAGTTTTGAATCCTGATTCTCAGCTCTCCCTTTTTTGAGCAAGCTTTTTCTTCCTAAATCTGTTATTACTGTTGGGCTTTAGGGAGAGATGGCAGCCACATGGCTAATTAATTTGTCACTCAGTTTTTTTCTGTATTGGTATATAAATAATATTGGTAAATCAAGTGAGGAGAAAGGTTACTAAACATTAAATACAGTATATTCCATTTTAAAAATAAAGTGTAGTTGTGTTTACATATATAGAAAAACCCCTGGAAGGAGATAAACCAAACTTGTAATACTGGTGACTTATTTTTTTCTCTTGTCCTTCTGTTTTATTATTATTATTTTTACATTGAGCTAGCATTTCTTTTGTCTTTGTAGTATCAGAAAAAAACTATGAAGATATTTGAAAGACTATAATCATATGTTTTTGTGGGTTGCTGAATACTTAATAGCACATGAAAAAAAAAATGTTTACCCCTGAGATAAAACAGGGCTTGGATTTGCTATAAACCAACTAATGGAGAGGTGGTAAAAATGCTCCTTAGTGTGCTGATGGAATTGCCACAAATGGCGTTATTTTACAGCATGGAATGTTCACCCTGTCAGATTTTCACTGCCACCCTTCAGTGAGAGATGATAAATAAAATTTGCCTCATCCGGAGGCACCATAGTGGGGGTTGGTATGGTCTAGTCTGATAGTCCCCAAAGATAACAATTTTCAAAGCTGACAGCTGATACTGACAATCTGTCTCAATGCCAGTAACAAACGTTCTTGAATGCTAGTAATTACACTGCAAAACCCTAGTGCCCAATGGAACAAGGAAACAGAAAGCAGCTATACCAAATGGAGATGCAGAGTAACCAGGTAGCGTGGGGGTGGGGGGGTGTCTGGTGATTAATGCGTGCTGTAATTATCCACTGCAGCTCCAGGGGGAGTCGGCTTGGAGAATTTTATAGCCAAGCATCTTGGAGCTCACTGGGAAATGAGTTCAGGCCTAGTACAGCCTGGAAGAAAGGTGGTAATGCTGCTGCTGCTAGGGGTGGGAGGCGGCCCAATTAGGAAGTTTTCGATCTTGATTTCTAGAGTTTATGTTTTCCTCTCACACTAGGAGGAATGAATGTTTGCAAGATGTTACAAAAAGAGGCTGTCATTTGAACACAATGGCAGGAATATCTGGAGCTCTTGATTGGAATTGCAGGAAGCTGAAAGACTGGGTAATGGGAACATTAAAGGGAGAAGAAATCACCCATTTTCAGTGAAAGTCCAAGATTGCTGGAGCTGACTTTTCTGTAAGGTCCTAGAAGGCTCACTGTGCTATCTTCTCACCCTTCAGAGTTCTCCCTAAACAGAGCGCCGCCCTCCCCACTCCCACACTTCCTCAGGGAGTTCTCATGATGATGACCTCCATCCTTAGTTTCTGGTTCTCTGTTCTAAGTCCTGCTTCTGACACACTGTGAATATATTTTACTCTTCGCCGCCTCAGCTCGGAAGAAGGGCTCAGCCAAAACCTACTCTCTGATTTTCTGACTCAGAGCCTTTCTCGAGAAGCCCGTCCACTGTACCCCAGGCATTACTGCTGTGAAGAATGGTCACAGCTTGAACCCCATGCAGGAGTTCCCCAATGGCTCATTCTGTAGGTCGATTTCCCCACAGCCCCACAGGCCTGGATGCCAGCCTCTCCCAACTATTCTTGAATTCCCTCCTGGTCTCTGGATTTTGAAATTATTCTTCTGCTGGTTTCAGGTTCAGGCTGTCAGGCCGGACAGGATCCTGGAGTCAATCAAATTCAATCCCCTCATTGTACGTAAAAGGAAACTGAGGCACAGAGCCTATCCCTGTAGCCCTCCACCCCCCCAATTTTGGGAAACCTTTCCTCAAGTCTCCTTTGCTGGGGTAATTGTAGAGACAGGTCAGTTTTTCCCCCCTGTGTTGGCTTGGAGTAAGGCCCATTCTTCACTGAGGTAGAAAGATATGCTAGATGACTCACATAATTATTGTTTTGGGGACGTATTTGTGCTGTAAAACATTTCCCTAGACAGCTTAAGTAATAAGTGTATTTTCTCTTAAGCATAACTAAAGCTGATACAAAATTGGGAAAACTAAGGATCTACTAAATGTCATACAACTTGCTAATTCAGAATGGGACATTCACAACAATGTGGCAGACCATGTGAACACAGGTACAAGGTTGGTAACATGACATCAGAGAGAAGATTGGCTTAAACAGAGAAAAGCTGGTAAATCAAGGAGAGGTATCTTCTGGTGTGTTCTGGGCCTTCTGGGCGTGCTACTCTTGTTTAAGAATAAAAGTGGGGGAGGGCTTGTGTCTTTATTTTGGGGATTTCTGCCACTTCCTAACCTACCAGCTAGAACGCTTCATGGCTGTTCATCAGGCGTGTTGAGGCCTGCCCCCAGCCCAGGTAGGTCTCTGGTCTCCTTTAGAAGCTGAGTCACCAGTTCTACTCTATAGTAGGGACATAATTGAACTTCATCACACAAAGACTGGGAATAGTCATGGGGTCTCTCGAGGGCCACCCTGTAAGTTTGTCAGGGAAGCAGCATCCATGGTCTCCTCTGAGAAAGTCTGGACATGGTTTTTAGAGATATTCTGTAATCGGGAGGTGTTTTGCCAGTTCCAGTTCCAGAAGCAACTGACAGACACAGAGTGTTCTGAACACTCTGCCGACATGGAAGAGGCTCTGGGCATGGCAGGGGTAGCGGGGAGGCATCTTATCTTTTTTGTTTGTCACAATGACTTAAGGCGCTGCTGGCTTTTTGTGACTGGGGACCAGATGTAGCAAGCGTGCTCAGTCCACTGGACAGTGTATGGTGAAGCATTGTCCCCAAACAAAAAAACTGTTAGTTTCCCCCACACACTAGCCTCCACCCTTCCACCCCCATAGGAAGTTCTGGCTAAAGTCACTCATCCCTTAGCCCTAGAAGACAAGAGGTTATGGTTAATCCGGGAATTGTTTTATAGCAACTTGCCTCATGCTGACCAAACCAATTGGCTAGTAATAGCCAGAATACAGACAGCAGGAATTTCCCATGCTTTCTAAGAACTTCTAAAACCAGTATTTTCTTGATAATTCCAAGAAGCGTGGTTTGTGGGGAAAGGCCACCACTAAATAAAGACCTTATTTGACAGTAACACCTACTTGTGGAAGTCACATGCGACTAATGATGAGTGGAATATAGGTATTTTTACAAGTAAGAACAGAAGCTCCTCCATTTAGTGCTCTCTGATTTAGTGGCAGAGGTGCCCAAATCAAAAGCTTTGTTTTTCTGAAACCATTTTATTGCAAAGAATTTATACAATGGCATGTTTATTCTGTCCCCTTTAAAGACTGAACATTGTCTGTTAAATGAAAATTCCAGATACTGATCTCTTTCTAAAATTAAAAGTTCTCTTTTCCCCCATGGAAACTATATATGTATTACATCATAATTCATATGCACAAAATATATCACACTCGTATTAAATTTAGGAGCAAGGCGTGTATGTTTCTTGGGTGCACAGCCATTGGGAAATGTTTGTACCAAAGTCAGGAAGTAGGAGTGAAGAGGGGCCTTGATTTAGCATCCATTGTTCAAAGCAGACATGAAAAGTGATGCTATTGGTCTTGAGTGGGCCGCAAAGGAAGCAATGAGCTTGGGTCCCAGAGGACCTTTTTAGGGGGAAGGCTTTGTATTGTTTATTAGCATCTCCTTGATCCACTTGGGAAAGAGGATGAGAATGAGCAGAGAAGGCAGTGTTGACTCGTGTGGTTTATTTGGATGAAAAGAGTGTTAATTCCTGCCTTTCCTCCAGCCAACACCCTCTACCCGCCCGCCTGCAGGCTAGCAGGTAAGCTGTATGATGGCAGGGATTGTCTTTTTTCCTGGGGCCCACCACTGCTTAGAACAGGCAGGCCTTCAGTAAATATTTGCTAAACTAACTTACACAGGTAGCGGTAAACCTACAATTGCATATATTTCTATTTGTTTAAAATGTCCTCCCCCCCCCCTTTTTTTTTCCCCAAGGAAAAAGAAATACCTTTCTTTACTCTTGGAAGCCAAATTTTGTAACATTTTCCCTCTCAAATTATGGAGAAAGTGGCAGGAAGAATTTTTAAATCACTGACAGCCACTCCATGTTGAATTTCTGAACAGAAAACCTTGTTCTCCCATAGGCTCATTATCACAGTAAATAACTGTGACTTTAGCTTTTCTTCCTTCCTTC